GGGGTTGTACCTTTACAAAGGATGTCCTTTGTAGTAGTGAAGTGTGTTCCTTGCATCCTGTTGGGACATTAGTTCAATTCTGGTTACCAGGGCAGGTCGTAATTATGCTACCAACTGAATCCCCAGCACTACTTTCTGAATTGCCTCTGTTTGCCTCTGCAATGAAAAACGTGTAGGGTAAGTCCCTGAGCTTGTACTGTAGCTGTGTTTTGGGTTGCTCTGGATTTTCCCCCTGTACAGTTCATGCACAGATGCTGTAGTCGTTTTACAGCTGGAAAGGAATAGGTGCGTGTTGGAGTCTCCAGCTTTTTGGAGCAACAAATTGCTGAACTTTTTACTTAGAAAAGGTAGTTTTTATAAGTACTCTTCACTTCCTTGTTCAGGTAGAAAAGGATGTGCTAACAAAAACCCAGAGAATTTGGAAGAGGTGGGTTATAGCACTGTGAAGCAGAGTTTACGGCTGGTTTGATTGCTTTTAAATTGCAGTGACCATTGACTGTTATCTTGTGAATGCTGGCTGACCCTGGGCCTCTAATTCTGCCTTACCTTTTTAAAGCAAGAAAAAAGGATATTTACCAACTTTCACCGCCAGCTGTTCTGTTGGATTGACAAGTGGATTGATCTGACCATGGAAGACATCAGGAGAATGGAGGATGAAACCCAAAGAGAGCTGGAAGCGGTAAGATTGCTTGGAGGGGGGTGTTGCGATTGTTGCATTTGTGGCAGTGGTATTTGGGTTCCTTGAGACCTGAAGTAGGCCATGTGCGTTGTTGTCACTCGCTCACCTGTGACCTGCGGGGGCATGCTGATAAAGGTGTACTTTTCTTCACTGGATCCTCTCCCAGAACTACATTTGTGGAGCTCCTGCATACTGTGCTGCACAGGGACAGCAGTTATTGAAATGTGTGTGTTCTGGTAAGTTTTCCATATCCCGAGTGTCTGCACTGAGCATTTCTTTCCATCCTTACATAGATTCCCTAGCACACGTATTTCCCCTCGGCTCTCTGGTCACTAGTCAGCCATGCCTCAGAGCTGTCCCCTCCTCCTCAGAACCATCTTGTTCAGTTCTCTAGTTGTCATTAGAGCCGATTTTTATTTTTTCCCTTCAAACATGTCTTGAAGTAAATGCATACATGTCAGATGAAGACTGCCTGACTTGTCTTGATGAGCGTGATGAAACTGAGAATCCTGCCCTGCCCTCCCCTCTTCCTACCCACCCCCCATTCCCTAAAAAAAAACAACGAAAAAAAACAGTACTAATGAACAAACAGGCAGGGGGTGGTGAGGACCAAGTGCTTCTAGTCTGACCTGCATGCATCGTCCCCTGGGGCATTTGAAAGGAAGGTCAGCGTTCAAGCTACCCTCCCTCTTTTTCCATCGGAGATGCTGAGGAATGCCGTAAGCTGGGGTGAGAAGCCCTTGGCTGCACAGTTTGTTTTCCAGGTCCCAATGTTCAGCATGAGCACTTCTCACTTCAACTTCTCTGTCCCACTTGGATTCTCTGGCATTGCCCAAACTGCAGCTCTTGTTGTGCCAGGTTTTACTGACCCTATCACCCAGCATCAGTACAGCTCACCTTAGTGTCCCTGGTGCCTTGGTTCTGGCTAGGCATGTTGTGTCTGGAGCTGTCTTCTGTATTTTAGGCAACTTAAAACATTTAAAGCCCAGAGGTATTGAGGTAGCTTAGGTGTCTCATCACATTCGCCATTGGTATTGGTAGTTCTTCTCGTCCCTGAGCAATATTATACCATTGATATTGATGCAAGTTCTGTCCTCTACTTCCCAGTGTTACCTTCAGCATTTGAGGGCTTCAGTAGCCTTTTGCATCCTTTCCATGCATGGAAATGGTTTTTAGACAAAGAAGAGATGCTCTGCACATCCCTGCATTTGCGAGCCCACAGTTCATGCCTGGAAATGCGTGACAGCCTCTACTCTGGAGATTAGGGAAGGTGGTAGGAATTTCTCATCTTCCATTAGAGCAGCAGTCACTGAATGTCTGTCACTTCTTCATCTTCCCCCACTACAGAGCTAGTGGCGGACACCTAGGGACAGATCCTCTAGAGATGTTCCATAGTCACAGGACATCAGATGTAATTTGTAATCGCCTTATGCCCAGAAGTATTTGCTTTCCAAGGACACAGCCATATCATTGCCCAGCTTGATTTGCCAAGCATCCCTTGGCTCTTGCATTTAAGTCGTGACACTGTTTGCTTAGTGTTTGCTCTTTTCCTGAGCACTCGTTGGGCCCTGAACTTCCTTTGAGAGTTGTAGTTAAGCGTAACATAGGATGACTGTAATTTCCTGTCTGCTGGTTCTCAGAAGCAGCGTTTTCAAGCCATTCGCCATAGTCTGAACATCTCGAAAGCTTTGTGGCTGGCTTCTGTGTGTTTGCAAAGCTGGATGGATCTGTTTGCCCTCAGCTGGAAGTGTCTACTAGCAATGCTCCCCTCTCTAGATGTTCAGAGAGCAGATAGAAGGGTTTGGAAATGTCTGAAGCCCCAGGTGTGGGTGGAGAATGTTTGCCGGTAGTAGGGCCACTTAGGGTTCTGGACTCTTGGATTTGGAATTAGTTTTGGGTAATTTGGCCTCGGATACAAATTTAAAAAAAACCAAAACCTTTTTTTTCCAAGGAGAAAGAAATGAGGGGATGCGTCTGTTGGTTTGCATGCCCTGCCCATCACGTCCCGCTTGGCTGGTGCTAAGTCCAGAAATGGGGCAGTTGCACCACCTTGCTGCTCTAGAGGATCTGTCCCTTGTGTCTTCAGGTCGGGGTTGCACCCAGGGCAACCTTACTGCCTCCATTCTGGGTTGGCACAAGCCTCTGCCTACTTGGCAGATCTGAGCATCTCCTCGGAGACTCCTCGTCTACTCCCTCCCTCTGGCTCCTCAGCTTGGGGAACTTCTCTGGTCTGTGCAGGAGTAGTTCCTCCTCTAACTGGAGTGCCTCCAAAGGCTTCTCTCTTGTATGCCGTTGCTTCCTGATTTGGTGTGGGCCAGACTTATCCCATTTCCATGGGACAGAGTAGAGCAGCGTGAGTATGGCCCCAGGTACGTATAGGTGAAGAGTAGCAGCACGTGATGCATCAGCGGGAAGGGAAACTCCCCCTCAGTGTGTCTGCACGGACTGTGGCCATCTTGTCTCCTTGTGGAGGTGACCCATGGACCCATCTCAGCGGTGAGTAACTCCTCTTTTGACCTTTTGCAAAAAGTAACCTCGGATGTTCGTATATGCAAACGTTCCTGTGGTGGAAGCAGAAAGACCTTCCCTGATGGTTTCGTTCCAGTAGTACATGCTGTCTTTTGAATACTGGCTCTAAGGCGCAGTGAAAAATACATGGAGCAAGAAGAAATTGTCCGTAACTTCTGTTTGTGTTCAGTGCTATGCAACCATGGTCGTGTAACGACTGTCTAACAGTCTTTGGGGCCTGAGGTATTTTCTGTATGTTAGTTCTTATCTGCCATGCTGAAGTTAAACCAGAGCTATTTGCTTTTCAGACATAACCCCAAACCTATTTCTATGAGTTGTATCCATCCTGAAAGCTGAAACGTGCTTCTCTGTTCAGCTTTGCAAACTGAATGTTTTTCCAAATGGTGTGGCCTTGTGTAGGAGACTTCCCAGGCTCGGCACTCCCTGGGGCTGCTTGCTAAATACAACTTTATCAGATGTGACTGACTGGCTAAACACTACTGTGGCCTTTCAGCTGGGACGCTTTGTGAGACATGTCAAAGGGGTTGGGACCTGCTGTTTGAAATGCTCTCTAGTATTTTTCTTGCTGCTTTTTCTCTACTAACATATCTGGGGGCTGGGAGCACCTGTAAAATGCAGACCAAAGACGTTGGTGCCAGGGTGTACTTGTGAGATGGTGTAAGCAGGCAGAGGGCACCCCAGGTACAAGTTGAACGCCAGTATTGTCTCATGGTAACTTTGCCTCTCATGCCTATCTGACTAGCTATGGAAGTGTTGTGATTTAAATAGCAGCCCTCTAAATCACGAGTACAAGACCACCAGCAAGAAGGGGCCCAGTGGTGAGAGGCTTGGTATGACGGGAATGTCCCTGCTCTCCCAGTCCTGCAGGGAAGCATTCAGCTTCTCCGTGGAGGCTCCGTGGCATCCCACCGTTCCCTCCCGCTCTGTATTGTCACAAAGAAACAATCACAGGAAACAGCCCGGTGTCTAATGACATTGGCAGGTTTGCATTCTCTTTCCAAGCCTTTCGTTTCTTTCATTAAAACCCTTCTCATTTCTGGATCCAGCTAGACTTTTGTTTAAATTTTCCTTTCTTTTTTGTTGCATTTCTTGGCCTTCTCTGTTTCTTGTCTCAATCTTGTTTAATCCTCTTGTGGCCATTGCTTTCCTTGCTGTTTCTGCTGTCCCTTGGCTTATTCTCATCTGAGTTCCTGTGGAGTTTTTCTCTCCATCTCTCTGCTCTTTTCACAGTTTTCCTGTATTTTTCTCTTGTGCCTATCTCTCTTCCTGGAAATCCAGAGTTGTACCACATTTTAAACTCTCATCAGTTGACTGCTGAACAATTCAGATCCCAGTCAGTGCACAAAATTGCCAAAACTCTGCGATGCCCTTGAGCTCTCTGCCACAGCCACCGTGGAAGCGTGGTATGCGTGCTTCAGGCGGCTGTGCACCGAGCTCCGTCCGAGGTCTCGGTCGCTCTTCGGGACTGGAGAGGCTCTGCAGCTTTGTACAGCAGCTCTCTTGACTGCACTGATTTTCCTGTCCTGAAGAATGTCCCTTCGGGCTCGTCTTCCCGACCCTTCAGCTTGTTCTGGAGCCTGCTGTGGTCCCATCCGCTGAGACAACTGTATAGGCATTTGGTGCTCTCCTACTAACCCGGCGATAGGTTCTCTGTTTGGTAGCTCACAGTTTTATTTTGCGTTTAGATGCGTAAGAAGGGTTCCGTCCGAGGCACACTGGCGGCTGACGTCTAGAGGAGTTCTCTGTAGGTTCAGAGGCAAAAACAAGCCGTGTAAGTGAATTCCTGGGTGCAAAAGCAGAACAATAACTTCTGGTGCTGGGAGTTACTGCTAGAACAAATCCTCCATGAACAGTGCAGCGTGGTTCCCTCCTGCTCCCCTGCTTGGTTGCAGTCAGTTGTTGGATGTCGCTTTTTTATGGCTAGGATTCATGAGAAACTTTCACCACACAGTGGCATCTCAGTGGGCCCTGGGCACATGCTCAGTGCAGTCGCAGGACACTTAATTAAGGGCCAAGGTTGGTATTGTATAATTCTTCGTGCTCGTCCAGTGCGCAGGCTCCACTGTTTGGTCTCATGATTGGCCCCTGAGCTGCAAGGCCTGCAGGAGGCTTCCTGGACAAAACCAGCCAGAGGGATGTGTTGCTGCGGTTAGACTCAGCTTGGTTAAAAATGCATTGGACTTTGCATCCAAAAAGCACCAGTTGAACCAGGGAAGGGGTGGGACGGGGCACCGGTCAGGTTCTCTGTTTGGGCAAACAGAGCAGGCGGAGAGATTCTGAGCAGCCTCTGACAATCCATTCCCACCAGTTTAATTCGGACATATCTGGCTGGGATGAAAAAAATGCCCTCGGGGCAACTGCCAGGGACTGGCTCCTTTGGAAGTCCCGGGCCTTTGGATCCACGTCAGTCCTCTCCCTTACGAACACTTGCTCGATGCTGCGGGCAGGATCCACAGTTCAAAGCACATGTTAAATCCCAGGGACTGGCTGATGTGTGGTTGGTGTCTGTGACTGACTTCTACTGACCTGCAAGCTGCTCTCCCACTAACAGGCCTTGCACCCCAGCTAAAAGATTCCTTAGGAAAGCTTGCACCATTCAGTCTGAGCCAGCTCTGTGCTGGCCATGGCTTGACTACCCCGTACGCACCATTTCCTGGAGACTTAGTGATGAGACTGAGCTTGGTGCAGGTGATATTTGGGTAACTACAACCAGCTAAATGGTGTCTTTTGCTTTTCCCCACAGTTACGTAACCAAGGCCAAGTGAGAGGAACAAGTGCTGCCAATGATGAATGATGATGGATGTGACCTGCACGCAGTGTTGATGATATACAGATGTGTGTGTGGATGCATGATTATTTGTATATAATTATATATACACACATGCATACTGAGGGGTTGTTACAGTGTCTCCAGGGTACTATACCTATCTTCAGCAAAGATGCAAAGGAAACTGCTTTCATTATGTATACCTGAAGCAAATAAAAATTGACTGAATAGTGTCATTTAAAGGATGAATTGACTGCAGAATTATGCTAACTGGTATGTTTCATGAATGTCAATACTGGACCAATTTATTCCATACTTGGTTATTTTCCCCTTCTAGAGTCACTCTGCTACAGTCTGCCAACGTCTCATTGTAAACCAACAGATTTGGTTAGGTTC